GTTATGCTACTCAGCCAAATTTGATATTAACTGATAAGATAAGTAAGAAAAACATAGTGTGAAATTAAAGAAAATCACTTCAACTCAAATTGCAGCTTTAAAATAAAAAGTACATTCTTATGTGATTTCTTTCATTTTTTCTGCAAAATGTTAATGGAAACACAGAAAAAGGAAATTTGCAAATTGGAAAGCAGGACCAAGTCAATTTTTTTGGAGAGGATTTTCTAATATTACTTCCTTTTTCTGTTCATAAAGTATTCAATAAGTACTTAAAAAATTACTACCATGAGTTACCATATGACCCAGCAATTCCACTCCTAGGGATCTAACCAAAGGACACAAAAACATTTATTCAAAAAAATACCTGTACCCCTATGTTCATTGCAGCACTATTTATAATAGGCAAAACCTGGAAACAATCCAAATGCCCCAAAATAGATGACTGGATCAAGAAGATGTGGCATATATACCCAATGGAATACTATTCAGCAATCAAAAAAAGATAAACTCATGCCATTGACAGCAACATGGATGGAGCTGGAAGAAATTATGCTCAGTGAAATAAGTCAGAAGGAAAAAGAAAAATATCAGATGGTTTCACTTATAGGAGGAATATAGGTGAACCAAATAAGACATCAGGGGGAGAATAATAATAATAAACACCACAAAACAAAAACAAATTGACAATTATAAATCAGAGACATCCCACAGGAGGAGGAGGCGGGAAAGGGATCAGAAGGAGGGAGGGAGGAGCACAGGGGCCTGTGGTGATGGTGCACAGGTGCATTGGTGAAGGGGGGGCAAACATTGTTTAAAAATGACCAATGATGATATAAAAATATATATATAATAAATAAATAATTACTACCATGCATCAGGCTGTTCTAGATCCAGGGAATATTAATAAAGCAGATAAAATCCCTATCTTCATGGAGTTTCTATTCTAGTGTGAGAAGACAGCCTATATATAAGATACATTGGGAGTATGTCAGATTGTGTTTAAGTATGTAAAGAAAAACAAAGCAAGATAAGGGAGTAGAAAGTGATAGCCACATATTACAGAAGAAGTGGTTAGGGAAGTTCCAGGTTTCTTGGAAGTAAAACTGGAACAGACACCTGAGTGAAGTAAAGATGGGAATCATGACAATACCTGGAGGAAGAGCATTCTAGGCAAAAGTGACAGCATATGCAAAGGTGCTGAGACTGGCTTGGTATGTTCCAAGAACAGTAAAAAGATAGTTTGAGTGGAGTAAGTTGGTTTGAATAGAGTAAGTATGGAAAAGAAGTTATAGGAAGATGTCTGAGAATGGACAAGGATCAAGTAGTTTAGGATGAGTTGCTAGCAGGTCATATTTAATTGGACTGAAAAGTAAACACTGTGGTCAATTCTGAGAAGAAAATGACCCACTTAAAGTAGATGAGAACACCTCTTGTGCCTCTACTACTATGCAGGGCTCATAGTCTTTTTTTTTTTTTTTAAGATTTATTTATTTATGCATACAAAAGCTGGGGTACAGGCCAGAGGTGTGGGGGGTGAGAGGATTCACCAGAGACAGAGTGGGGAACAGAACCGGCAGATTGACTGAAATACACTGCTGAGGGGAGCAGTGGGCGAGTCAGGAGAGGTCTGCTCCGCCATGTGGGTTGCTCCCTGGCTGGCCAGGAATTGAACTCATGCTACAATGGCTGTGGTTAGCTTCATAGGTTGTGTCTTAACCCCTTGTGCCACCAGGGAGGCCCGAGGGCTCATAATCTTAACAACTACTCCCATCAGAGAATTGGGCAGCTATGCCTCTGTTATCTGGGTGTTTTTCACCAAATTACCTTTTCTCTATATGCTCAGAGACTGTCACCTCCAGAGAAAATATTATCTCATTTAATCCTTGGACTGGATATTAATGGAGCGTAGATTACACTGGCTGTACTTAGTGAATCTTGGGAGAGGCCATCCTTACAAATGACTCATTATTACAGTTTAGATGGAGATGGAAGAGCTCCAGTTGCAGTGGATCTGTAACTTACTGCTTTTCTGATGCTCTTTCATGATGCATGTGAGCGTGAGAGTGGCAGTAGGAGAAAACTGTCTCTGTCAGAGCATGGTGAATGCAGAGCTGATTCTCATGGGATTGGGCTTCACCATGCCATCTAGTTGTGAAGTTGTAGAACCCAAAAGAAAATGACAATAATGAAAAGCAAAAGCAATCTTCAGCAAACACTACATCTGGGAATTGCTTTTTCATTTGAGCATGAGTATCAGAAAAAATAATTTATAGGACTATGAAAAAAATAAGAGGGACAAAGAATTGGGAAAATCATTTCAAAGACTCAGAGAATGAGAAGCTCTATACACGCCATTTACTCCTGGAATAAAAAGAAGGAAACTTAAGAAACTTGCTTGTCATACTTAGGGAAATACAGAATGACAACATTCTTACGAGACGAGAGCAGAAGAGGTAAAAAGCCTTCACAATGAAATGGAAAGGGAAGAGTTCTTTTTAAAAGGTTGGGAGATATTTAAAATATTAAAAGTCAGGAAGTTAAAATACCAGTAGAGGTAAAATCTATAGTGGGAGCAGTAAAGTACATTTCCCCAGCAGACACTGGAATCAATAATAAAAATAAACTTGATTTCTTAGACTGCTCAAGGAAAAGAAAAAGAAAAAATTCAAGTAAATAGTATAGAGATATTATACAGACTTAAGAATTATAGTTTCTGAGAAAGATACTAGAACAATTGGAACAAAGATAATAATTAAAGGTGCAAATAAAAAGAATCCAAATGATAGTAATAAAAAGATTGCTAATCTAGAAATACCTTAGCAAAAATTTGGGAATACAAGCATAAAGAAAAGAATCATCTACTAGCATTCAGCCATAAAGAAGTTACTTACAATGAAACAAAAATCTGGCTGACATCAGATAGATCTGTAATGCCAAAAGACAATGGAAAAAAATACCTAAAATTATTGAATAAAAAAGATTATCAAAAAATAAAAAAGAAGATAAAACAGGAATTTTTTCAGTTAAATATTTTTCACATATAAAGACAACTGATAAATAGCCTCATATATTCAAAGGCTCAGAAGTAGAAAATTCATGTTTTTTGGAAAACATTGGGATACATATATCAGACACGAAGAGATCTGAAAGAACAACCAGGGTACAGATCACACATAGTTGATGGCATTATATAAATGTTATCTAATTAATATACAAGGGAAAATAACATCACTCACACGAATCTCCTTCTCAGTATATTGGAAAGCAGTTAAATGATATAGCACCAGCACTTGACCTTTGGGGCTATTTGCACCATGATGTCATTTAATTCCGTGTAACTCTATGAAAAAAGAATTATCCCTATTTTTGATTTGGCACACTAAGGTATAGAAGAAGTAAATGCTTGGTCAATATAAAGTGGTTGGTAGGTAGCAAAGTCAGGAATTCGGGTTTCAGAGCCTGCAGTTTAACTTTAAACTATTCTGTCTTTAACATGACTACAAAGGTTTATTCGTCATTAGCTGCCTGGGGCTCTGTCCTTAATTCTAGATATCCCAAAGAAGATGAACTTTGTTTAAATTGCATTTTTCTATACCTAGAGCTATTGGCTTTATAGTTCCCAGAAAGTGAATTCAGATACTTGATCTGGTTCCTTGATCTGGATTCTTTTGTGTTATGCTTACAGATTTCTCTCTAAGTATATATAGTTAGAGAGACAGATAGATAGATAGATAGATAGATAGATAGATAGATAGATAGATAGCTTAATAGATAAAATTTCACACAGCTCAGATATAATTTAATACCATGTTTGTTTGTTTACATAATTGAACTACTTTGGTTGAACTTCTATTTCCTTCTTTATTTCCTTTTGAAAATGTTATACAAATAATGGCAGTTTACAAAAAGTAAAACCTGATATAACTTTCTTCACATACTTGGCTGGGCTAAATGTGGATTGTTTATCAAGATATCAATATCAATTATGTTGTTTTATAAGCATGATTCACATGTTAATAGTATTTCAAGACAAGCCAGTTAAGAAATGTTTGAGTACAGATACTGGAAGTGATAATGTTTCCCATAGGTTTCCAAGTGCCTTCATTTAAATGTAGATATGTGTCACTACATTAACACTGTAGTTGGACTGTACAAACTATAGCATTCTGGTTAAAAGAACAAGTTCTGATACCAGACTTGCCTGGATTACAAATCTTCATGTCCTGCATTCCTCTGGGCCAGTGCTTCTAAGTTTTCCAATTAAGTTTCTTCTTTTGAGGAACAGAGATGATTCCTACTACCTGGGTAATAACACTAGTTAATATATAAGGTGCCAAGCGTGTTGTGTCACAGGTAAGCTTTCTTAAAAAGCAGGTATTATTAACACAGACAATTACTAGCACAGACTTTTTCCTCTTTTTACAATTGCTTACCGACTAAAGTCTGGGACCTCAACCCACGGCACACGGTCACCAGAATCACCTATAAATTTATCAAGCAAGGCAATCAAAAAGTTCCAGGCGTATCTTTTACTAAGAACTCGGACTTTGAATTGGAAGACCTGACATGACAGTTGCTCTTCGACCTACTTCCCCAAAGGTCGCCAGCGCATTTAAATGGTGTGCTCCCTGGAGTGCAACAAGATAAATGTATGCCGAGCGCTCCCTGTGGATTCTCAGTGCGCGCCGCGGTTAGAGGCGCCAGGTCTCACCTGTCCAGGTGTCTGCGGCACCTAGGCGATCCGGGACGCTTGGGCCTGGCACCTGGGGAAAGCTTAGTTGGCTGCTGGGGGGAGGGCTCCCCAAAGTCACAGTTCAAGGGGCTCTATTGGCTACGGTGGGCGAAGAAGTGCTGCCGCCTACCCCACCCCCACTTTCTCAGGGCGCTCTGCTCCGGGGCACTGACACTTGGAAGACGCCTCCAATCCCCTCCGGGCGCCACGCCCGCCGCCGAGAAATAAGCGAGCGCCCTGCAGCCCAGGTAAAGCTGCCACTCCGGCTGCGAGCGGCGGGGCAGCCAGTTTGCGCGCAGGGCGCCGACCGAGAGCCACTGCGTTGCCATGAGCGCGCCCCGGGACATCGGCTCCTTCGTGGTCTGGGACTATGTGGTGTTCGCCGGGATGCTGCTCATCTCGGCCGCCATCGGCATCTACTACGCCTTCGTGGGACGCGGCGAGCAGACCTCCAAGGAGTTCCTGATGGGCGGCCGCAGAATGACCGCCGTGCCTGTGGCGCTGTCCCTCACCGCCAGCTTCATGTCGGCCGTCACGGTCCTGGGCACCCCATCCGAGGTCTACCGCTTTGGGGCCATATTCAGCATCTTTGCCATCACCTACTTCTTTGTGGTCCTCATCAGCGCGGAGGTCTTCCTCCCGGTGTTCTACAAACTGGGGATTACCAGCACCTACGAGGTAAAGAGTCAGGGTAGGCTGCAGGCTCTTGGCAGGGATTTATGGGGAGCAGACACGCTACTGTATCAAAATCTCTCCCTGTCCGGCCTACCATCTCCCCGCCATCCCCTTTTGGGGAGAGGTGTCCAGGAAAGGCTGGGTAGTGAGGGAGAGGACTTGCAACTTACTCTCAGGAGTGAAAAAACATGCTTCCCACCTAATCAGTGAGTATTTCCGACCTAATCAAAGAGCATTCCACCAACTTGGTCTAAGGTTCTTTGGCCTTTATATCTTGGATTCTTAGCCAAGGGGAAAGGTTTTAAAACTTTTTATGGGGGGAGGGATGGAGAATGGTGTGAAGTCTTAGCTCCTCCTCCCTGAAGCCAGTCCCTGTGTTCCAGGTCCTGGAAACTGGGTTTCCATGATAGTTGAAGAATTGGCACGTTCCTCGCCTTCCTGCTCCCATGCATGCCCCCTGCACAGAGGGGCAGGAACCCCAAAAAGCTTAAGATGCAGTATGTCTCAGTACCCACCTTTGAGACCAGATCCTCCCACTTACTACCTGGGTAACCTTGGTGGACTTGTTTAACCTTTTGTGCCTGTTTCTTCATCTCAAAATGGAAAGAGTAATTCCACCTATCTTATTCAGTTGTCGAGAGGATTGCTTGATAGGAAGCAAGCGTAACGTTAAGAAGAGTGTCTGTAAAGTGCTAAGTAAAGAGAACATGCTAAGTAAATGTTGGCTGTAGCTGTTGTGATGATGGTGGTAGAGGTGGGTATCTTGGGATCACTATAGGAAATTTCCACTGCAAGGATCTTAGCTCCACCTTCTCTCTCCATGGAAAGATGATTAAGAAAACCATTTTCTTGCGCCGCAGTTTCACCGCTTATAGGTTTTCCCAAGGTGTCGGTAGGAAAGAGCTTTGCAAAGATGATAGATGTTTGATTTAGTTTAAAGAATACTGAATGGAAGTTTCAGGGGAAGGGTAAAAGCTTGGAGAAGTGGTGGTGTCCACTTCAGTGGCCCCAGTGGTCTCCTTTACACAGGCACTAACCCATGAGCTTCATGAACCAACCTGTAGAAGTTTCTTCTCTAATAGACCATTATCCAGAAGACTCTGAACCTTAATCCTTAACCACCACCTATGTCCTTGAGTTGAGGTATATTTGCTCCAGACCAGAGCCACTGAAGGCACTTTCCTAAGTGAGGCTGGTTCAGCTGGCGCTGTGGATGGGGCCACAATGACGTAAGTATGGGTGACAAACTCCCTGGGCTCCAGGGACATCACCCAGGGTGTGGCCGCCCCTGGGATAGCATTGCCTTCCTGTCTGGTCATTGTGTTTGGGAAAGTCCAGTCATTGCCTCAGAAGTGAGCCGGATGGAATTGCTTAACAGGGTTTTGCTTAAAAGTGGCAAACTGTATGCCTGAAGCTAAAACTCAGTCTTCACTCATTTTTTTCCTCCTTATAGTGTTTTGGAAAAACAAGTAATTGAGCATTTAATGATGATGAGAAATCAAAATTCCATATTCTTGCTTCTTTTTAAAACTAAAGAAGGTGGGTAATACTGGCCCCACGTTCCCTGTGGCCATAGGAATCCCATTTATACCCACTGCTCTCTCTTCCTTTTAGTTTCTATTTTGAAGTCTCATGGTTTCCTTCTTATTGTAGAGAAAGCTACGTCTGCACGCGTCTTTGCCAAAAATGTGAAAGGGAAAATGGACAGGGGTAAAGGGCGTTCTTGTACAGAGGGAGAGGGGAGAGAACACATTTCTCGGTGGACTTGAATATTAGAAATTATTAGTATATGAGTAGCTGACCAGCCTACTCCTATTTGTCTTACCTGACGGCACCTGTAGCCTGTGAGCTCTGATCTGCTGTTAACCAACTCCAAAACTCAGGAGCGGTTAGAAGAATCTGGCAGGAGGACTTCAGTCCCCACGGGTGAATGCTGCTCTCATGATCGCTGACCCATGTGCTTCGGGGCAGCTACTTTAACTCAACCAGAAACAGATTTCCCACATGTTTCCAGTGGTGGTGGCTAAGTTAGTGTGCGGCTAAAAATGGCGAACAGTTAACATGAACTGAATGCTTAATACGTGCTGGTTGCTGGGATTCACGTTTTTTGTACATGATCTGAATCGATACTCCAAACAATTCTTCTAAGGAAGGTAGTGTGAGGGCCCCATTTTGCCAACAAAGACTCAGGGTAAGTGAAGCTGCAGAAGAGAGCTAGAGGCAAAGCAGACACTTGCCTACGGCTGTGCAGTGGTGCGTGCTGGCTGCTTCTGAAGGCCTCTCAGTGAGTCTGTTAGAGCCCCAACAGCTTCCTCACAGAGCCAGTGCAGAAAGCACAGAAGGCACAGGACGAGTGGGTTGTGGTCACTACTGGTGGGCACCTGGCAGTGGGGCCAGGGAAGTTAGACAACATGCTATGTCCCTGACAACTGGTCATGACAAGCAAGTTCTTGAGGAATAGTTTGTTTATTTAATGCTGAGAAGTGGAGCTCCCTCCACAAATTAAGAAGTTCAGCACTGAGTGATATCCTGGATTCTTGCTCAAGAATGAACTCCTCTGTTTATACTTTGCCAGCTAAACCTGACTGTTCAGAACTATTTTTGATATCTGTTTCTCACTACCTTTATAGTGTAATACCAATAGGTGTTTGACAACTTGCACATCCACACATGGGAAGTGTAATTCTGGAATCCAGTATCATTCACCACTTCTTATGGGTGTTTCTGGACCTTGTAAAATCTGTGTCTTTGAGTTGCCCAGACTGTAGTTTTCCTCTATTCAATGAAAGTCTAGGTGTCCCTAAAGTTTGAAGAATTTGAGATTTCCAACATGACTATAGGCAGCTACTATATTCTATAGTTTGTCTAGAAATCTGAGAGCTATTCTTTGAGCTTAATGCTCAGGGACTCTGGTTTCTCGTGGTCTCCAGGTTTTCTTTAGCAGCCCAGTAACTACTGATAGCTGGAATCAGGGTGGATTTCTTGTCTCAATCTTGGTCAGAGACAGAGTTGGTCTTCTGTGATCTTACATGCATAGATTTGTCTGGATCCAGCCAGTCTTGGGGGGAAATATATAACATTACACATTATATATGTATATATTACTTGGCTTGATTTGCTACATTTTTATCACCATCACACATTTCTCCTTCATTTTCTTTAGTACTGTGGCAATTAGACACATTTACATAAAGAAGGCAAAGAAATTCAGCTTGTGATAGGGGCAGAGAAACTGGAGAGATGGTCTTCTGTGGCAAAAAGCATGAGAAACCTGATGCTGAAGACATGATGTCCAAAGATTACTAATTTTGTCACTCATACTCACTTCAGCCTCCATGAGGAGATGCTGGAAGATGAGGTGCACACCCTCTCACAAGCAACTCCATGTTTCACAACTGGTACCTCTTCAAAGACAAGATGGTGCTGGATATGGGCTCAGTCAAGCATGGGGGTTCTTTGCATGTTCACTGCCAAGACCAGGGTCTGTTACTAGAATCAAGTGTTCCAGTATTTCTGATTATGGGATAAAGGTTGTCAAAGTCAAGAAGTGAGACCGTTGTGATGATCACATCACAGGGAAGGTGGAGGAGGTAGAATTTCCAGTGCAGAGGGTGGACATCATTGTCAGTGAGTGGATGAGCCACTACCACTTCTACAGGTTGATGCTCACCACCATACTCAAAGCCCAGGAAAAGTGGCTGGCACCAGACAGCTTCGTTTTCCCAGACTCAGCGTGCTATGCATGTCCACTGCCAAGGACAGGCAGTACAATGACTGTAACATCCACAGGTGGAAGAACATGTACAGCTTTGACATGTCTTGCATCGAGGATGTTGTCATCAAGGTGGATGTGGTGGACCCCAAGCAGCTGGTCCCCAATGGCTGCCTCCTAGAAGGGATGGACATCTACTCCATCCAGGTAGCAGACCTAGCCTTCCCATCCCTGTTGTGCTGGCAAGTGAAGCAAAGCTACCATGTGCATGTTCTGGTGTCCTATTTCAACATCAAATTCACCACTGATACAAGAGGACCAGCTTCTGCAGCAGCCCCAAGTCACCATATATGCACTGGAGGCAGACCATGTTCTACAAGGAGGATATCTAACAGTGAAGATCATTGTGTGAGACCTTTGGCCTGTGACCCCATGTGACCTGGACTTCACCATTGACCTGGACTCCAAGGGCCAGCTGAGTGAGCTGTCCTGCTCCACTGACTACCCGATGTGCTGAGGCAGCACCGGTTTCTCCCACCCAGGGTTTTAGGCTGCTTCAGGCTGCCTCTTCTCTCTTTGCAGAAGGGGGTTTGGCTGTGTTTTTCATAACTTATGTTTTTAAATGATTGTATTTATAACAATAAACCCTTAACTGGGGAAAAAAAAAACTGACTTGGCTGATTTAAGAAACAAAAAAATTATCAGAAGCCTAAGGAGTATCTCCTAGGATGGAGAGAGAAGCTGAACAAACAGATTGAAAAGGATGGAAGCCAGAATACAAGACAGGGCAGCCTCTTCAGGCCACACTGTTGGGATCAGTCTGCCCCTGCTCCTGTCACTTTCTGTCTTTACACCATGCCTCAAAGTGTCACACTAGTATTTGTGTCTATTGGGAAGAGAAGTTGATTGACAAGGTTTGGGTCATGTGGCTACCCCTTGGTCTGAAGAAGGCAGGCACCTTGGTGAACAATTCCATCACATTGCCTATAGTGGGAAAAGGCTGATGCTAAGTGAATTAGAAGAAATATGTGGTGGAGATACCAAGAGGAAGGGTAAGGGAGAATAGCACTTGGTCCATTCTAAAAATGCAGAATATAATTCTGTTTATATGATGTTCTGAAAAAGGCAAAGCTAGGGATGATGGACACATCAGTGATGGTCAAGGTTTGGGTAAGGGGAGGGTCTGACCAAAGAAACAACAGGAGAGCATTTTCTGGGGCATGATGTAACTGTGTGTATTTCTGTAAGTGATGTACTGTATGTATCTAGATAAGGCAAGAGGCAATTTTGCTGTGTTTAAATAAAAATATTAGTACAGTAGAAATATAGACCATAAATCTGAAATGACGTTGCTTTAAATTTCAACCCCCTTACTTCTTAAGCTGCTGGTTTTAAAAAAAGTGTCCAGAGGTTTCACATATTAACAATCCTTCCCTTTTTTTTTGGAAACAGTATTTGGAACTTCGATTTAACAAATATGTTCGTCTCTGTGGAACAATTCTCTTTATTGTTCAAACCGTAAGTAACTCTGCTCATTTATTTTATCTTTTTTTTTTTTTAAAGATTATTTATTTATACAAGTACTGGGTACAGTCAGAAGCGCGGGAGGGTGAGAGAATTCACCAGAGCCAGAGCAGGGAAGAGAACAGGCAGACTGAAGAAGTACACTGCTGATGGGAGCAGCGGGCGGCAGGAGAGGTCTGCGCACCATGTGGGACCCTCGCCTGTGGCCAGGGATCGAACCGGCGCTGCAGAGGCTGCGGGCAGCTTTGCAGCCCAGGGCTCAACCACTGCGCCACCAGGGGAGGCCCTGCTCATTTATTTTATCTTTTGCCATCAAAAATGTTTTTAGTTATCAAGGCAGCTGAGCCAGCTTATCTGGTATACATATGAGAGATAAAAATGAGATGTTGAAAATAGGAAGAAACAACAAAAGAAAAATACTTGTCACTGCAGCATTAACCGTGAAGTACATAAAGCAGTGTTTTAAGCAACTGCATTACTTCTTGAGGAAAAATCATGATTAAAGTGAACAGTAAATGTTATATTGATCAAACAACAATTATATCCTTTAGGAAAATATATTTTCCCCTTCTCCCACCTTCCCACATTCCTGCAACAGTGACAGTAAAGGCATTATTGAGGTAAAAAGATACTTGAAGGAGTTGTAGTAACTGGTGGTAAGAATTGTTAACAAAGGAAAAACAAATATGTTTCCTGGTATTTTTGCAGCATGTTGAGTAATAGGTACGAAAAAACCTACTGATGTAGGAAGACATTAGGAAATAATTTTCTCTGTTTGAAAGCTTTAAAATGAGTCAGTGTTCTTTATTAAAATTGAAATGTAAGACTCAATTGAAGCCTGCACTAGGTGTGAAACAACAGAACCATGTACTCCGGAGGAGCTTTTACAGTCAAGAACACAATCCATTTATTCAAGAATATGCAAATACAGATGTACTAATTCACAGCAATGGAAAGCAGAGATTTGTCAAGCCGTCAGTGACAGAGAATGCTCTCCACCTAGGCTGCTGGAGGTTGTCAAGAACATTTTTTTTTGTCTTGTCATTTATTTTTATCTTCTTGGCAGCTAAGTGCTTTAGAGATTGGTTTTATAATAGCAGTCTAGGAAGGAGTTTTTTTTTTTCTCCTCCCTATTTATTTATTTATTTTTAGGATTTATTTATTTATTTATACAAGCACTGGATACAGTCAGAAGTGTGGGAGGGCGAGAGGATTCACCAGAGCCAGAGCCAGGAGTAGAACAGGCAGACTGATGAAGTACACTGCTGAGGGGAGCAGCAGGCGCAGCAGGAGAGGTCTGAGTGCCATGTGGGACCCTCGCCAGTAGCCAGGGATCGAACCGGCACTGCAGAGGCTGCGGGCAGTTTCCCAGCCCAGCACTCAACCACTGCACCACCGGGGAGGCCCTCTTCTCCCTATTTATTATTCCATTTCTCCAATCAAAGGCTACCTATGCATTTGCTACAGAATGATAACAGGCCTTTGTTAATTATTTACTTGACTCCATTTTATAATTTTTAAATAATAAAACTTTAATTATATCAGTCCTTAACAATTACAGATTAAAAGGAAGGAGTCCTTTGAAGTCTGATAGAGTTTCTGATGCAGACTACAAGCTGAAGTTGTAGCTTGTATTCTTTTGCCAGCTCTCTAGACCCTCTTTAGATCGTTGTTGGAAATACAAAGAGAAATGAAAATGGTGTTAAGTGTGAGGAAGTTGTCCTGTAATATATATTTGTTAAATGTATGAATGCAAAATGATAAGTAATATGAATGATGAAATGTAGTTTTTGTTGGCCTTCACGATTTTTAGTGCAAATTCACACTTGTTTAATTAAGGGCCTGCAAGCTTTTAAAACAGTTCCCCAAATTTTCATTTTTCCCAATTAATTATGCAGTGACTAATAAGAGTTTGAAGGCATATGAATGAGGGGTCATCCTCTTTTAAATTTGTTTTTCTTACATATTTCCCTTCCTCTCTCCCTCCCTCCCTCCATCATTTCTTCCCTTCCTTATTGTTTCAATCAAGGAAGACTGACTTCAAGCTTGAGTTTATGGGTTTATGGCTATCTGCACCAAGTACCACATAAAAAGTTCATATTTTTACATACATTTTTTAAAGGTTTATTTATTTATGCATACAAGAGCTGGGGTGCACGCCAGAGATGCAGGGGGGTGAGAGGATTCACCAGAGACAGAATGAGGAACAGAACTGGCAGACTGACTGAAATACACTGCTGAGGGGAGCAGCAGGCGAGACAGAGAGGTCTGCTGCGCCATGTGGGTTTCCTCCCTGGCAGGCTGGGGATTGAACTTGTGCTGCAGAGGCTTCAGATTGCTTCATAGTGCTGTGCTTAACCCCTCGTGCCACCAGGGAGGCCCTAATTTTACATAAATTTTATATAAAAGAGTTTCATAACTTATGACTGTACTACATACAGAAAAGAAGAATCAACTGTGTTTCATAACATTTTCAAGTTACAAATTTTATTAAGTTTATCGAGTATTAATTCATAATTGAGGGCCTCCCCAGTGGCGCAGAGGGTTGAGCACCGCACTGTGAAGCTGTCTGCAGCCTCTGCAGCACGGGCTCGATTCCCGGCTGGCCAGGGAGATGCCCACATGGCACGGCAGACCTCTCCTGTCTCACCCGCCGCTCCCTTCACCAGTGTATTTCGGTACATCTGCCTGTTTTGCTCCCCACTCTGTCTCTGGTGAATCCTCTCACCCTCCCGTGCCTCTGTCCTATACCCCAGCTCTTGTATAAATAAATCTTAAAAAAACATAATTGAATTTATAGAAAAATATCCATATTTTATCTATGACTCATAACATTTATTTGGTTTTCTTTTCCCTCTAGATTCTGTATACTGGAATTGTTATTTATGCCCCTGCCCTGGCCTTGAATCAAGGTACATTTACAGCAATAATCACATGTACACATTTTATTGTTCATTTTTAATAGACCTTATTCTCTTCTTGGGAAGATGGGGTGATGGAGGAATGCTTCCAGTAAAGTACATTAACTTGAGGGGGGGCATGTTGAGTTCATTGTCTACATTAACAACTTTTTGGGGTTCCTTGATCAGTAGCTCCAGAACATTTGTAGATTAGTAGAAGGGCAGAGCTCGCTGGGAAGTGAATCCCTGGGATATGCCAACTAGCCATTCTCTATTCCTTCAGAAATAGTCTAAATCATGAACAACTATACATCCGCCCTTCGTGGATATAACTTGGGGCCCATCCCCTAGAGGAATCTGTGTTATTTGGCTCAGGTTCATTGTAAAATCTGGTAAGGAAAGCTTTTCTTTTCCCAACCTCTAATGTGGTTCAAAATGCAAGAGAAAGAAATCTGTGTGACTTGAAATATCAGATTGCTGCTGGTGACTAAGGGACAAAAACTAGAGTATTCTTATATGCATATGTAAGATCATTCTGATCAACAAATTTATAAAAGCAGTAAAACTGATAGAGTTTATTGGGGCAAGGTACATGCTAGTCATGTCCTTAAGCAGTCTTGGGGAAACCCCACATCCTTTGAATTCTTATCAGCAACAAGTGAGTATCTCTAAACAATTCTTTGCAAGATGGACAAGTGGACCCTGTGATGGGAAGACTATGGTGCAATTCCTGGAGTCATTGTAAAGTGGAAAACCCCTGCTAACTCCATACTCTAATTTCTCGACTTCGTGATAGATAGCATTGATCACCAAAGTTTTTAAAGTACCACAGTATTATTACAAAGAAGAATTCCTTTATATAGTATACTCTTGAATTCTGAGTGTCAGCCATGTTTTGTGTCGGTAACACCAACATCTTGAGTGGATTGTTTCATATGTAAAGAACTGAGCTGTAAGTTCAATAAGTTACCTATTGGAGTTTATTGTAATTGAAGGTGTTGGCTTTATGGTTTTAAAGTGCAGTTGTAGGGTAAAAAAGATCTCTACCTTCAATCTGAAGAAATCGAGGACTCTGTTCTTTCAGTTTATTGAGCCACTCCCTAGGAGCATATTGACACTCAAGGGACTGCATTTTGACCATTTGAATTTTAATTGAGTGTTTTATTGCTTATATGTATATTAAAACACAGGCAAATTAAGTATACAGCTGAATGAGCTTTAGCAATCATACACACTTGCATGACCACCATTCAAGGCAAGATGTGGAATATTTCCATCATCCAATCCCAGAAATTATCCTTGTGCTTCTTTTGTTTTTAAAAATTAATTAATTAATTATTTAGTTAATTGTTCTATATCTTGAGGTAAAGTTGGTTTACATCATTGTATTTGTTCTAGGGGTTATAGGTACACATCTTTGCAAATACATGTTTTCACACCATGTCCACCACCAATGACCTAATATTCCTACACCACACTCCATTGGGTGCACCCCTTTCCCTTCTGGTTACCTCAGTTTTGCAGTCAAATTTCAAGGGCTTATTACTGGTTTATTTTTATCTGACCCTTTGTTTTGTTTCTCTGCATTACACATACAAGTGAAAACATTTGGTATTTGCATTTCTTCTGACTTGTTTCACTTAGTATTATCCTCTCCAGTTCCATCCATGTTTTCATAGCTGAGTAGTATTCCATTGTATAGATATACCATATTTTTCTGGTTTTCTTGTCTGTCCTTGGGCACTTAAGTTGTTTCCATAATTTGGCTATTGTAAATACTGGTGCAGTGAACATGGACACACACGCACACACACACACACACTCATATATATCCCTTCAAATTGTGTTTTTGCATTCTTCAGGTAGATATCTAGGAGTAGAGTTGCTGGATTATATTGTAGATTACTTTTACTGTTTTGAAAAACCTCCATACTGTTTTCCATAGGGCCTGGAGCAGTCTACATTGCTACCAGCAGTGTCCAGGGTTCCTTTTTCTTCACATACTCCTAAACACGTGTTTCTGGTTATTCTTGTCAATATGAGATGGTATCTTATTGTAGTTTTGATTTGTGATTCCCTGAGATAAGTAATGATGAACATTTTTTCATATGCCTATTAGCTATCTCTTTATCTTCTCTGGAGAAGTGTCTAGTTAGCTCTTCTGCCCATTTTTTGATTGGTTAATGATTTTGTGAGTCGCATGAGTTCTTTATATATTTTGGATGTCAACCCTTTGTCAGATGTATGACATGCAAATATTTTCTTCCCTTTAGTAAAGTGTCTTTTTGTTTTAATGATTGCTTATTTTACTGTGCAGAAGCTGTTTAGTTTGATGTAACCCCATTTGTCAATATTTGCTTTTGCTTCTCTTGCTGTTGGGAACAAATTCCTAAAGACATCTTTGAAGCCAATGTTGTAGAGTTCTTTGCCTTCTTTCCTTCAATGTATTTCATAGTTTTGGGTCTTATATCCATGTCTCTAGTCCACTTTGAGTTAATTTTGAGGTACAGACCAATTCAGAACATCCATGTTTTTTTCTATGAGTTTAGGCAGATAGTATATTTTCATTTCATCTGTGGTTACCAAGTCTGTGGGACATGGAGTTGTTATCTTTACATTTTAAAGAGTTGTAATCTTCTTCTCCACTTCTTAGATAAATGGCAATAAATTACATAGCCTTTTTCCCCCTTGGTCCTAGCATAGTAACATGCACCTTGTCTTTCAAGTCTTGATAGACTAGTGTGTTTATTTCAAACCATGATGGCAAGTACTATTTAACTCTTCTCAGTCTGGACAGCCACATCATAACATCAAGCTGTGTTTTTGGTGGGGTTTTTTTTTTTTGCCTTTTTTTTTTTTTTAAAAGATTTATTTATTCATTTACACAAGAACTGGGGTACAGGCCAGATGCGCTGGAGGGTGAGAGGATTCACTAGAGACAGAGCGGGGAACAGAACAGGCAGACTGATGAAATACACTGCTAAGGGGAGTAGAGGGCACAACAGGAGAGGTCTGCCACGCCATGTGGGACCCTCGCTGGCCGGCCAGGATTGAACTGGCGCTGCAGAGGCTGCAGACAGCTTCACAGCGTGGCGCTCAGCTGCATGCACCACCAGGAGAGGCCCTTTTTTTTTTTTTCTTTAATACAATATAAATGCTTTCTCAGATATTTAAATTAGCCATGTTGGATCTGTGTATGGTGTCGAAGGGTAGAACTCAAATAATTTTGTGTCCCTTTTGTTCTGGGACATTCTGTTAGGTTTATACTTCATTTTAGGCAAGTGGGATGCCCAATAACTGATATAGCTTCTCCTGGTGATTTGTTTGAAGTGTACCTTTTTAATGTGTGTTTCACAAGAATGCATGCTTTTTTTTTCCCCTTCCAGTCACAGGATTTGATCTGTGGGGCGCAGTAGTAGCCACAGGAGTGGTCTGCACGTTCTACTGCACTTTGGTATGTCAGTCATTATTTCTCCTTTTGCTCTACAACTTGCTTTGCAAAATTGAAAATTCCACTAGTTGTGCACTGCAAACTGGGTTGTTTTTATCATTCTCTTACTCCTCCCTTATGTAGTGTAAATTTTTGTAAGGAATATTCAGTTTGGAGTAAAATTTGATTCTATATGGAACATTGATCATAATGATGTATTTTTCCTTCATCTAAACCATTGCAGTGGTCCCTTATATTGTCTCTTAATTCATTTTTATCAATATCAGGTTACTACAGTCGTGCTAATAGTCAATATTATTCCTTAGCTTGGAAACCTGAGAAAAGTCCTGTTGTCTATAAGCAGGAGTAACAGTAGATATTGGTACCATTTTGGCTTGGGCACCAATATTATCATGGATATTGGTCCTTTTTAGTGGTGCAAGTCTTATGGCATCCCTAATATCCTAGGTATTAACTCTTTAGTTGCTAGAGCTTTTAGAAGATAAAGTCCTCAGGAAGAGACTGCTTTAGACAAGGTCATAGGGAACTCTGGTACAATATATGGTAAGTTTGTGGCTATAGCTGATACAAAATAATTTTAGTGTTTCAACAACTGGTATGGCCATCTGGGTGCATACTGGTTGAGTATCAACCCTGTCTATAAAATAAAATCTATGATACTCTATTTTACCATTTCAGTGTGAATTTTCTTCCCCCAGATTTCCCTGTACCAGTCCACTTCATTCTAAAATGTGTGCTTGGACTCTTGGCATGCCATGTGCTTTGACCTCACTGTGCTTTTCCCTATACTGTTTCCTCTGCTTGGGGGACCTTCTATCTTTGCCTCTGTTTATATTTGAAGATTTGTCTTAAAAGCCACCTTTTCTTAAAAAAAAAAAATCCACCTTTTCTTGAATGTCCTCCCTACCTGTATACCTCTCCCTTTTATTTTGGCCAAGCTCCGTGTTTTCATCTAGCATCATGTATGAACGTGTAGATGCTTTAAAATGTCTAATAGAAGCATTAACCTACTTTACTTTCCCCTCAAAGGGTGGGCTTAAAGCAGTTATCTGGACGGATGTTTTTCAAGTTGGTATCATGGTGGCTGGATTTGCATCTGTAATTATACGGGCTGTTGTGGTTCAAGGTGGAATTGACAATATTCTGAATGATTCCTATAAAGGTGGAAGATTAAACTTCTGGAAGTAAGTCACTGTTTATCTTTTGAATACTAGAACCACCCATTAGCTTCACCTGGGCATCATTCCACTCCTTAGCTAGGGCATTTTAATTGATAGCCGTTTAGACTATTTGTGGAGAAATGGTAGTTTCTCCAAAGCAAACCTGTGTTGCTCTTACCAGAAACAGAAGGAAGGGATACCAAGAAGTAGAAACAACCGATGACCACTCAGATTGCTCCCTAGTGGGCTAGGTTGAGGGGAGAGAGTGTGGAACCAATTACTTTTCCATAAGATAACTTTCACTTCATACAAGGGATGTACATATCACATAATTAAAGTGATCACTTACATGTCAGTATGAGATTCTTAAAAGGTAAGAGATCAGACCTTTTTATGACCTTTACTTTGAGAGACATTAGCCATTAAGTAATCATTAAAACCTTATTGTGTATCCCTTGTTATTCTGATATATTTTGAGACATAATAGGCAAAATATCTACTCTGGTTGAGATAAATGAAGAAAAGGATTTTGTGTTGGTGTTTTCTTCATGGTCTGTCGTTGGTAAATGTATTGTGCACAGAACCACTGAATTGTGTGTTCTAAATCTTGTTTTATTTTTCCCAGGTAACTCATGAATCCTTTAGGGTCTTGACTTCCATTTACTAATATAGTAGCTATTTTGTGGGTGAAAAGGTCAATGCCCTTAAAATTTTAATACTTTAATATTAAATGTTACAGAATGCAGTACAGGCCTTCATATTTCCATAGGAATGTCAAGATAGCATCAATCATAGTATTTTATTTAACTGTTTTCAAAAAGATTTGAAATGGAATTGCAGAATTTCATAAAGTTTCCATGAAGCCCAAATTTGTAGACATTTTTCAAGCTCATATTATGTATCAGAGATAAATAGACTCATTAGTTCCAAAGGTATGTATTAAGAAGGTACAGAGGATTCATCAAACATGGAAGCTGAGCTTTCTTTTTAATAATATTTTGAACTTAAGCACATATCATCTAGTGACTTTTTCCTCTTAGCATTTAGTTTGTGCACACTGCATTTTAAGAAAGCATAATTATAATGACATGGCTGTTTTAGAACATGAACTAATTGATTTAATTGAATTGACTTATTGAGTTAGAATATAAATTAGGACTATTAATATACATGTACTAGGAGTGAAATTATTATACATAAAATGTATTGCTTTTGTTTCTTACTTAGAAATACCCCCCTCTCTTCCCTCTCTCTCCCTCCTCTTCCCCTGCCCGCCCCCCACTTCTTCTCTATCCCTATCCCACTCTCTCCCTCTAGTTTCATGTTCTTCTCTGATTACAGTATGGCAGATTTGTTTAACCATTTCCTAAGGTCATGGGAAAGCAATTTTTATAAATGTTCAAAGTGATTACAGCATTCATTTTCCCTTGATCCTATTAAGAACTTTTAAATCTCTGAAAGTATCCATTTTTATTTATGAATTAAACTTAGGAATAGTTTCAATGTTTCTATTTCTTTAAAATGTATACATATATAGAAATTTCTACGTGTAAAAATATATAATTTTTTTAGGTTTTTTTTTTACTCATAGTTCAGATTTGTTTTATGTTTCTTTTAATTTAGTTTTGATCCTAACCCTTTGCAAAGACACACATTCTGGACAATTATTATAGGAGGGACCTTCACATGGACCAGCATTTATGGTGTCAACCAATCCCAAGTACAGAGATATATTTCCTGTAAAAGCAGATTCCAAGCAAAAATGTAAGTTAATCTGTGTTTATGAATCATTAATAACCATCGCATGTCCTTATGGAAATTCATATACCTACTTATAAAAGAATCAAATAGAATTAACAGGTACTTTTTGTTTAAAATCAGATATTTGAAAATGCTACATGAATTACTAAGTAAAACAAATCTCATCAAATAAATAGGTACTTCTTGTGCATATGTTTGTATAAAGAATTATAAGGAATAAAAGTTATAAATAACGACTCTTGTGAAGAAACTTAATATCAAATTAGGAAAATATATGCAGGTATGTGAAAAATAAAATTGCACTAGACAGGTATAAGAGTTATGTGAAACTGTATAAGAGGAAATGTTCTACAGCATATATTGTGATATGTACTGGGGTATTTTATTTTCAGACAGAATCATGGGTTCTGCTCTGATGCTTGCTGCTTGAGAGATTCTGGGCGAGTTACTTAGTCTTTCTAAGCTTCAGTTCTATATTTTTAAAATGAGCATAAAAAAACATTATACTTCACATGGTAGGTAATGGATGTAGCTGCTTGATGAGAGAAGTGTTTACTCTTTCTTTAATTATTAAGGCTTTGAATTAATGACTTTAACATTACCAATATCAGTAACTGCTATTTAGCAAGTATTTATTACATGTCAAGCACTGTGCTATGTGATATATTCCATTTCATTTAGTCTTATAACTCTATGAGGTAGGCATTGTTATCTCCAGGTATAATGAAGAAACTGAGAATTGAAGAGGTGAAATTATTTGCCCAGGGCCACATGTGGTAGGACCAGGATTTGTACTCAGGTTCCAGCACAACTGTGTAAACCTTTGCACTCTACTGGAGCATGTATTGTGTATTGTAAAATGAGCATTGTTTGGGATGAGGTGTCCCAAGACGTCACGTTTGCCTTTCACACTTAATGGATGGTATTACAAACCACACTTTAATGAGTTTGATGAGTAGCTATGTAGAGGCTAACAGTGTTTAGCAGTTTATAATTGCATTACTTTCAGAAGGAAAATGAGTAGTCATTACTGCTCTATTCACTATTAAGATCTTTATTAACTAAGAAGACCTAAAGCAGTACGATTAGATGTCCATCATCGAGCTAGCAATGCCCTTGGAACTATGACCAAGAGCATACATTCCTTAAATGGGAAAGCCTCTTCTATTCCAAATATTTCCAAACATATTGTTGATTGACACCATAAGTAGGAAGTTAGGCCAAAATGAAATAAGTAGCAGTTTTGGTAACCAAAAGATGATGTGTTTTTATTGAGTATAGTCATGAAGGTATTTCTGTTTATTTACCAAGTTTCCTAATCTTTGGAGTAGAAATTACAGTGGTCATAGCTGCTTTGTTATTTACTCTTTTAGGTCTCTCTACATCAACCTCCTGGGACTCTGGGCAATCCTTGTCTGTTCAGTGTTTTCTGGACTCGCCCTATATTCCAGATACCATGACTGTGATCCTTGGACAGCCAACAAAGTGTCTGCACCTGACCAGGTCAGTACCATGCTTTCTTACACTTGCGTTAATGACACCCACAGCTTATTAGTTGGGAGGAAAGTATTCCTGTTCTTGTAGAGAAACAGAAAATGTGTATAATATAGTCATTTTGTGATTTAAAAGAATATATATTATCTGTAGTTTGCATCATGAAGACTACAGGGAGTTAAAAAAATGTTCCAAATGTATCTATCCTGTACTTGGTGCCCAAAACAAAATAGAACTACAAATCCTACCTTTGGACTCCTTGTCAAAGAATGTATTTGCAGGGTGGGGGGTCTTGCGGGAATATACCATCATTTTTGAAAAAGAACTAGGTTTCTTCCTCATTGGAGGATTCTATTTTTTTTAAGATTTATTTTTATTTATATAAGAACTGGGCTACAGGCCAGCTGTGTGGGAGGGTGAGAGGATTCACCAGAGACAGAGTGGGGAGCAGAACAGGCAGACGGACCGAAGACACTGCTGAGTGGAGCAGCTGGGCAAGACAGGAGAGGTCTGCTGCACCATGTGGGAATCTCCCTGGCCGTCCAGGAATCGAACCCACACTGCAGAGGCTGTGGAGAGCTTCACAGCGCTGTGCTTAACCCAGTGCGCCACCGGGGAGGCCCCTGGTTCTATTTTTGTTTAATAGTCAGTGAGTGAATTCAGTTAACATTTCACTGGGGCTATGCAGCAATAAAACAATTTGTGTAAGATCAGTTCAAAACCTTAACCTGAGGGGAACAATGTGGTGTTTCTGCAATGCTCTGTTGGAACTCTCCCTGAGGAAGCAGAATTAGAGCCCAGAGATAGTCTTACTATTTTTCTGTTTTCATTAATATTACCTTATTGATTCTACCTATACCTGAGGGGCCATTTGGAATATGAAATATCATGCCAAAGACTTTTAAGAATGTTGATGATTGTGTAAAGGATTTTAGATCTCCTTATAAACACCAAGGCTGGGAACTTTACTTTTGCTTAGGTATAGGATAGTGCTTGAAGTTAAACTTTTAGGAGATCTTTGGAAAACTGGATCTCAGTTTAGTGGAGGGAAATGCTATTCTCTTTTATGCAAACAAAGAATTTGTAGGATTAGGGAAAAGAAGAAAACATCCTGAAACAATTCAAGACAGACCCTTGCTACAATGGAGGGTATTCTTTCCTATCCCTTTAGTAAACTATTGTTAAATGAAATCAAAGAAAGAGATAAGATAGGGTATGTCTGTCATCCACTCTACACAAAGGGAGAAAGAATCAATAATGTTTCAGTGCAGATGAGTGGATATTTTGCTTCCTACTCAGCTATAAAAAAAAAAAAATGAACTCTTGCTATTTCTGGAAAGGTGGATGGCATTGGAGAGTTTTATGCTAAGTGAAATTAGTCAGATGGAGAAAGACAAATACCAGATGGTGTCACTTGTATGTAAAACATAGGGGAAAAAAAACAAAGGGCTAGATAATGCCAAAACAATGACAAATTCTAGATAAGAAAGTGGGGGAAGGGAGAGAGGACAAAGTAGAGAGGGAGCATAACGGATTATGGTGGAGGATTGAGGGTTTTGGTGGTGGGTGTGGTGTGGTAACATCACCTTTAAAGGTGGTGATCTACATCTAAATCATACCCAATTTTGTAAATCAGTGTTACCTGAATTTATAAACAACACAAACTCAATAAAAATAACTTAAGAAAAATAAAGTTGGTATTAGAACTTTTTTTTTCAAAAAACAAGTTTCTAGAATTTCCTGAGGTTATTCTCCACTTATCATTATGTCTCATACTATATTCAGTTATAATTACACATTTTCATTCCATTTCATTCCATTCTATTTTTATACATTTCATTTCATTTCATTCATTTCATACACAGAGAATTGTAAATTATTTCCTTTCAATTGATTTATTTTTCCCAAACAATGAAAATAGCAATCTTTTATCCATTATTATATTCCACATAATATATTAAGAGATTTACATAGGTTACCTAATGTAACTGTTTTTTAAAGATTGATTTATTTGTTTATGCATAGAAGAACTGGGGTACAAGCCAGAGGAGCAGGGTAGGGGGTTGAGAGGATTCACCAGAGACAGTGGGGAACAGAACAGGTGGATTGATTGAAATACACTGCTGAGGGGAGCAGCGGGCAAGACAGGAGAGGTCTGCTGTGCCATATGTGGGTTAGCTCCCCAGCCGGGGGTTGAACTCAGGCCATAAAGATGATAGCACTAAGACTTAACCACTAGGCCACCAGAAGGCCCCTAATTTAACTTTTATAACAACTCCGTGAGGTTAGCATCATCCCTCTGTTGCAGATGAGGAAACTAAAACTCAGGGAAATTAAGTAACCAGTCCCTCCTCTGTCTGAATCCAGAGCTTGTACCCTAAATTACTGATCTATCCCTTTCTTTATTAGGAATTTAATTTTAGATAACTGGGAATTATAGTTATGTGGAACAACTCCCTTCAGTTCTCGAAAAACACACAGTAAATGAAACTTTATTTATTTTACAAATAGTGAACAAATAGTACTGAGGAGTAAATTTTGGAATTTTGCAGCTCATGCCTTATTTTGTATTGGACATTCTACGAGATTTTCCGGGACTTCCTGGGCTTTTTGTGGCCTGTGCTTACAGTGGTACTCTAAGGTATGAACTATGACTAATAACACATAATTTCCGTATTAAGGTCTTTCTTTTGTTATTGATTAGTTTGAGGCCTAAAGTAGAGTTTTGGGCTTGGTCACGGATGGCCACTGACTCCTTGTAGTCCCTCTGTCTGACCTCTGTCTGACCGCTATCTCTGTGGACTTGCCATCTATTATCATCAGTCCCACTTTCAATTGGTTCATTCACCTTTCCTGTGGAGTCATAATAATGATGATCAATTGATGGTAGCTTTTACCATTATTAAAATTTGGTGCTTACCTTCTTGGTTTAAAATAAACATGTGCCTAAAGCATGATCAAGTGGAAGTTTGAATTAAAATCTCCTCTTTACATACTGAATAATATATACTGTTCAAAGAATCTTGTTTTGTGATTGAACTTATTCATTGCACTTTCTTCCTGTATTTGCTCCAGGGAATTCTTATTATTAACATGCACAGTATATGTTAATGACAATCCAGAACATAAAATATTATTGCTATTTATGACCCGCTACTGATCATGATATTTAATGAGGAATTGTAACACTTCTTCCTATATACAAAGAAAAATATGTTTTGAAGTCTTTACATAATAATACCACATAATGTTATTATACCATATCTATATTTCTTTTCCAGAGACACTGAGAATTAATTGTAAAATGGATGCAAGATTGCATTGCCCTTTATTGCTTTAAGTCTATGGACATTGCCGGAGTCATTTTTGAATGACAACAGCTTCCATAAAGAGAATGCTTTCATCATTAAAAAATAATACAGTAGAATTTGGCTACCTTTCAAAAGTGATCATTTGTTCATCCCTTTCTCTTCCTACTTAAGGTGTTGTTAAAGTTAAAAATATTACCAATCAAAAATTTATTGTCCCTTACAGTACAGTATCCTCCAGTATTAATGCCTTAGCAGCAGTAACTGTGGAAGATCTAGTCAAACCTTACTTCCGTTCACTGTCGGAAAAGTCTCTCTCCTGGATTTCCCAAGGACTGAGTAAGTTTTTGTTTTCAAAATCCTATTTTAACTTTGAGAGATGGTTTTTTAGAGATACCAGAGATTATTTTCCAGGGAAGCTACAGAGCATGGGCTCCTGAGTGTGCAGGTCGATGCATGCCTGTGACTGATGCAATGATGGCCTCATTGCAGTCAAGACTTGGGAGCCATCTCAAACAATTCATTGTTAGGGGACCCCCAAGAATGACTTCCAGGTATTTTATTTGCTTGTTCTTTCCTATCTTCTTTTTTTTTTTTTTTAGATTTATCTTTTATTTATTTATGCATACAAGAACTGAGGTACAGGTCAGAGGTGCAAGGGGTGAGAGACAAAGTGGGGAACACAACAGGCAGATCTACTGAAACATACCACTGAGGGGAGCAGCAGGTGAGACAGGAGAGGTCTGCTGTGCCATGTGGGCCAGATCCCTGACCAGGGATTGAACTCATGCCGCAGTAGCTGGTGATAGCTTGATAGTGCTGTGTCTTTAACCCCTAGGAGGTTAATTCCAGGGGTTAACCCCAGGGAGGCCCATTCTTTCCTATCTTCTTCATATCCCAAATATCTGTTATAATTTTTAACCACAGAACAAAAGTCAACCCTTCTTCTTTTCAACTTGAGTCCATTTAAGTTTACGGCCATACCACCCTGAATACAACCAATCTCATAAACTTCACTCCATTGAAGAAATATTCTTCATTAGGATATTCTTAGGAATCTAGAGCCACACTTATTATGTATTCCCGAAGAATGTGCTTTCAGTTCAAGGTCCACTGTCTGTGTGCATGAAATTGAAGAGAAAGAAACAGAGCATTATGATTTTTAAACTGTCTTGAGACTGTCCCAGAGATGATCAATAAAATTGTACCAGGAATCCAAACATTCTATTCATATAATTTAGAGCATTATTAGGAATTAAATATCAGATTAAATGGAAAGATTCAAGGGCTGTCAGTTCCCAGATTTCCTAAATGTAATATCTGAGTCAAAAAAAATCTGGCAAAATGGGAAGGAAGAACACAGAGGATATGGTGATGGTTCACAGGTGATATGGTGGTGGGAGAACCATGGGCACTACAACAATGTAAGAAAAAAAATTTAATTAAAAAAATCTGGCTAACATACTTCATTCTTCATTTTGATATCTTGGGGACATGTTATTTTTCTAAAAATAACTTTCAACCTCAACAAAATAACGCTAGTAGATTGTCAAAGAAATAGTAAGTAATACTCTGTTTTGAACCAAATTTCTATATAAATGTGCCATGACTGTAGGCTGGGTTATGTACATAATTTATATTTTTCAATGTCCCTTAAATTTGAATAGTATTGCATCATTTTATTATGTAGATTGTCTTGATCCTGAAGCATAATTTTGGAATGAGACAATGCTTCCTAGAGAATATTCAGACTGGCTCATTATCGAATCATTGAAGCCATGTGGTTCAGTAGAGTGTGTAGAAGCTTTCGAAGTCAGACAAACACAGTCTTATTTTCATCAATTTACTAGCTGTTAGCTGTGAGCAAACTCATTAATCCATTTGAACTTGTTTCTCCATATGGATAATGAGAACAAAGAATATCTACCTTATAGGGGTGCTGTGACGTTTAGAGGCAATACATATAAAATGAAAGGCAATAGCTGGTGCTCAAGGAATGATGTTGCTGCTGATTAAATACAAATCAACTCTGCTAGTACAGATGAGGCATTCATTTTGAAAGGCTATATAAAATCATCTTGAGGTATGTGTGTGGGAAGGACATCATAGAGAAGAATGTGGTAGATGATTGGAGTGTGTTTCTAATAACTCTGAACATCAAGAATGACAATTGTGATTATTCATGAGCTAACAAATAGAAAATAATGTTGAAAACAATATTTATAGAAGGATTCAGAAGCATCAAAAATCATTGCAATTAGAGCTCTTTGCAAAAAATTAACATGAGTGGGCCTCCCCAGTGGCCAGCGGTTGAGTGCTGGGTTGCGAAGCTGCCCTCAGCCTCTGCAGCGCCAGTTCAATCCCCAGCTGCTCCCCGGCCACCGGAGGAGGGTCCCACATGGCGCGCAGACCTCTCCTGCCGCCCGCAGCTCCCCTCAGCAGTGTACTTCGGGCCTTCTGCCTACTCTGCTCCCCGCTGTGGCGAATTCTCTCACCCTCCCACGCTTCTGACTGTACCCAGTGCTTGTATGAATAAATAAATCTAGAAAGAAAGAGAGAGAGAGAGAGAGAGACAGAGAGAGAGAGAGAAAGAAAGAAAAAGAGTACTAAAAAAAAAAAAAATTAACATGAGGTTTTCCATTAAGGTGCAATAAAGTTGTTTACTCAATGTCTTTAGCAAAGGTATTTCTTATACTAATAAAAGTAAGATGGGAATAGCTTAATAGAAGGAAAACACTAATTTTACAAGAAAATTTCCTACTCACTTTTTCTGTATTTTAAATCTTAAATTTGGGAGATCACCTGATTTCAGGTGATTTTTACTCAATAGGCAATAAAAGTAAAAAAAAACAATCTTTAAATTTGGGTTAATTTTCCTATAATTTGAAAATTAGTACATGTACTTGGAGAAAACCTGGAGGATATTGAAAGTCAAAAGAGAAAAATATTCCCATAATCTGATCACCACTGTGGATTGAGAATTTCCGTAAAGAAATTTGGGAGAGAGTTCACTAGAATGGGAAAGCTAATACATGCCTTGAAGCTGCCTTTTTGTTTTTTTTTTTTTGTCAGTTTCATAGGAAAGGTTTGAGATGGTGGTGGAGATTGCAAGAGGTCTAAAGGTCCTAAACCACCCCTTAGTGTGGACTGCCACTTCCCAGAAGAAATGAACCCTTAAAGTCAAAAGACTAGAACTGAATTGTGTCCTATTTTTGACAAACTGAAAACAGAAACCTGAGCCTGCCTTTAAAAACAAATGTATGTGGAGGATTAGATTAATACACAATAGTTCTTAGTTTTAAATCCCTACAGTTAATACCAGGGATTCTTAGTTACATAACCTTCTGTTGTGATTAATCTCGGAACACAAGATCAGGGTTTAGTTTCCTCTTTGTGCACTGCTGACCCTGCAGGAAAATGACCCTTTTCATTTTCCGGCTGGCTGTGATGTCTGTGGCTTTTCTTGACCACAGTCATATTACTTACGTTGAATCAAAGGGTGGTAGTTTATTCTATTGTGAATTCTAATCGCCTGCGTCTGGGTTTTACATTGGCTTTTCCATTGTCTGCCTAGGTGTGCTATATGGAGCCCTGTGTATTGGAATGGCTGCTCTGGCATCACTGATGGGAGCTTTGTTGCAGGTAAGAGGTGACCGTTGAAGGTTTAAGTCAGCGGTCCTATGCATTACTTTATTTTGAGGAGCATATTGAGACCATCCAGCACAAGATTGCTGATATCTGCGAGAACAAGACCAGGAAGAGTGGTGTTATTCTTGACTTATACATTCATACATACCTTTACATTTTCTGTCTTGTATTGAGGGTACCTGAAGGAACAAATGGATACTTGAAACTGAGCAGAAGATTCCAAATTCTAATTATTTCTTTGCCAATGACAGGGTTCCCATGAGTTCCAGGAAAAGACTGGATACTAAATCCTCATCCTGAAGAAATTACTTTGAAGCATTTTAACTTTGAATTTGATATGCTAATTGCTGTCTTTATTATTTTCATAGGCAGCACTCAGCATATTTGGTATGGTTGGTGGACCACTTATGGGCTTGTTTTCTTTGGGAATTTTGGTTCCCTTTGCCAACTCAATTGTAAGTATAAAGAATGAACAGGTATGAAGCTTTCTTTCTTAGCTACAACAGCAGCACTACAGTTTTTTTAATTGCAAAAGTTCCTTTACTATCTATCAATATAACTTCTCTTGTCAATTACTCAAATTAACTTTGCTGCTGTTAATTATTGACTGTTGTAGTTATTTGGGTTTAAAGAGACCAGGAAGCCAGGACAGAGTGCTGGCCATATAAACTATGGAAAGAATGCAAGTATACAACATACATGAAGAGATTGGTGATTGATTAGATAGGGATCTGTAAGGAATATGTAGGGAATGAAGTTATAGAGTCTCCAGGGCTCTGGGCTGAAGGACCAGGGACCCATCTGCACTTGACAAGTGTCAGGGGTCTTGCAAGGGGCCATGTTTTTAAGGAGGAAAGCTGTTGAATTTGGCTTGGATCATGTTGAGCTTAACCTTCTATTATTGATTTCTGTCTCAAAGCAAGCTACATTATTTTCCTTTAACAAGAAGTCTTGTTTTGCAGGGAGCAATTGTTGGTTTGATGACTGGATTTGCTATTTCTTTGTGGGTTGGAATTGGAGCTCAACTTTATCCTCCTCTTCCCGAGAGAATGATGCCACTAAGCCTTGAAACCTATGGCTGTAACAACACATTCAATGGAACAGGTTCAATGATAACTACAGAGATGCCATTTTCTACTAGTTCTGGAATACAAGACACTGGAAGGTATTGAATTAAGCTTTGTAATGGTCACATTTTCAAAAATGTATATGACAAGTAGAGAACCCTAGTTGTGGTGTTGTCTGGTCTACAGTGCTATGATTTTACCCTGAGGTCATAAACATATTCCTCCAATTTTTATTAAAAGATTTGTAATTAACCATCTCTATTGAGGAATTAACTACTCTGGAATTGATTTCTGTGGTTAGTGTGGTAGAGATTCACTTTTCCCATATGGATAGTCAATAACCAAGAACCATTTATTGAAAAGACCCTCCATTTGCCTTATTGTAATGCAGTGGCAACTTTGACCTAAACCAGATAACTTTTTCCATCGCAACACGTTCTCAACTCTCCATTCTGTTCTATTTTGTCTGTCATTGACCTGGTAATACCACATTATTTTTATTTCAGTACTTCACCTCAGTATATTTTCCAACATCTAGATGTTGACTCCTCAAGTTATAATTGCTATGAGCTCTCTTGTGTCTTCAAAAATCTGTCTTCCCCTGTGTTCACTTCTTATATACCACTAAGATCCTCACTTAACATCCTAGAAAGGTTGTTGGCATTTGTGATTTAAGTGAAAGTATGTGTAACCACCCAATTTTACCAACCTCTAATTGCTATAACAAGAATTCAATTCCTGTGGCAGATTTCTGGTCACAGACACATTACCAACCTTCTAAATAAAGATACCCAACACTTTTAGTATAAAGTAATAATTTGTATTAATTTAATTCACTCACTCATTTATTCATTCATTCATTTTCCAACATGGTTATTCCAGTTTAGGGTTGAGGTGTCTGGAGCCAATCCCAGCAGTTCAGGGCCCAGGGTCAGGATGTCCTGTCGCAAGGCAAACTCCCACACACACACCACACTCACTCAGACTGGACAATTTAGAGATACCAGTTAACCTATCATGCACATCTTTGGAATGTGGGAGCAAAGCAATGTACCCAAAGAAAATGTACCCATGCAAGATATAGGGAAAACAGGCAAATTCTGCCAAGATAGTGGCCCCAGGAATTGATCTTTTTTCTCATCAGTGTTATAATGAAATGAGGTCAAATGAAAAAATGACATTATTTGAGGACCTGCTGCATCATTCTTGTCAGCATGGTCAGGTGAAATCAAATTGCCTGTCAAAGCAGAGGTGGAGTCCCAGAGCCATCCTTTCAGAAACAGGTTGGATCCTTTCGCCCCTCCATTTAAAACACTGCTATGAGTAATAGTGAAGGCAAAGATAAACAGCTGGGACTACATCAAATTAAAGAGCTTCTGTACAGCAAAAGAGACAGTAACCAAAACAAAGAGACACCCCACTGATTGGGAGAAAATTTTTGCACACAACACTAATGATAAAGGACTGATCACAAAAATCTACAAAGAGCTGATGAGACTTAACAAAAACAAAGAAAATAATCCAGTCAAAAAATGAACAGAAGAGCTAAAAAGAAACTTCTCCAAAGAGGAAATGCAAATGGCCAACAGGTATATGAAAAAATGTTCAACATCATTTGTAATCAGGGAAATGCAAATCAAAACTACAATGAGATACCATCTTACACCAATGAGAATGGCACATATTAAGAAAAACTAGCAACAACAAATGTTGGCGAGGATGTGGAGAAAAAGGAACTCTCCTGCACTGCTGGTGGGAGTGCAAACTGGTCCAACCACTATGGAAAGCTGTGTGGAGATTCTTCAACCTGCTAACGATGGAGCTTCCATATGATCCAGCAATTCCATTCCTAGGTATTTACCCAAAGAGCACAGAAACATTAATTCAAAACAGCACCTGCACCCCTATGTTTTTAGCAGCACTATTTACAATAGGTAAGCTATGGAAACAATCCAAATGCCCAAAAATAGATGACTGGATCAAGAAGATGTGGTATGTATGTATATTACTCATGTATGTGTTATTTTACTATGTATGTGGTATGTATATTACTCAGCAATCAGAAAGATAAACTCATGCAATTTGTAGCAACATGGATGGAGCTGGAAGGGATCATGCTCAGCCAGAAAGAAGAAGCCAGAAAGAAAGAGAAAAATACCAGATGGTCTCACTTACAGCAGGAATTTAGAAAACCTAAATAAGGGATAAGGAAAAACACTAATTATAATAAAATAAAAATCAAATTCAACAAGCAACTATAAACCAGAGACATACTGCGGGGAAAGAGGGGAGGGAGTAGGATCAAAATAAGGGGGGTGAGAATTGAATGGGTACTATAACCAAGATGAAAATGCATACATTGTGCAAAAATGAAAAGTGATGTAAAAAATGTATATAAAAATAAAAATAATAAAGCACTGCTATGAACTGAGGGTATTGGGACTCTGGTAGTGGGTGTTTGAAAAGGCAAGACCCTGTCCTCCTAAAACAATTAGTATTATAAACCAACATTACCTCAATAAATCAAGGAAAATAGTGCTGTGAGTGCCATTACTAAGAGAGTAAACTATAAACTATGAGTCCTACAAAAATAGCTGCTTATCTCTCCTGGTGACCCACACTGTATCTTGCTCACCATGCCTCGGTCAGCCGCTGTTCACCTCTCTGCAGTGCTTTCCTCAAGTACCTTTTGTTCTTCAAATGTCAGCTCAAATGTCACTTCTTCGCAAAGGTCTTCTCTGACACTTGTGAAAGTGTAGTTCCTTCTCTCCACTCTGTTGTATCACGTTACCTTGTTTTATAACATTTTCCCGGTGGAAATTATTATTGTATTTATTAATTTGCTTCCTTTTTATTATATTTCTCTCATTAGAATGTAAACTTCCTAAGAGCAGGAACCTTATTTGTCTGTTTCATCGAGGACTCTCAATGACGAAGACATAAAGCAAAGATGAATAAATAAATAGGGACATTTAGTATTATAGTATATGGTCAAGGTTAAGTCAGACTTTAAATTCCTGATCCAATAAAATAATATTGGGACTGCAGATTATAATATTATAAACATCATTAAATATTATAAAAATATGCTTTCTGTGAGGACTCTTGGCAACTCCTTAGTTGCTAGTAGTGATGCATGAAATCTTACAATTACTTTTTTACTCTCTCTTAGGACCCCACTGATGGATAACTGGTATTCTCTATCATATCTATACTTCAGCACTCTTGGAACCTTGATAACAGTATTTGTGGGAATGCTTGTCAGTTTACCAACAGGTAACTAACATTAATATATTTGTGTTTACCTTTTTGTCTAGTTTTTAGCATATGTATCTTGTAGCTATTTATGTTATTTTACTATAGTCCTCTGAACAACTTAATTATTTGTTCCATTTTATTCATGGAAAACTTGAAGGTCTGGACCTGAGAGTAGAAGATTCATCTTTATTTAAATCTTTGTTCAACCAATTACTAACTGTGTGGATTTGGGCAAGTCTATATTAGCTACCCTGAGCCTTAGCTAAAACGAGGATAATGTTAACTTGCCTAGCTCACAGATTAATGTAAGATAAAAATAAAATGCTTGAAAAAATTGTATATAGCTACTCAGTGTTAGGAATTTTACACATATCTTTATAACAACCCCACCCCGTGACTCTTTCATGGTCCTATACTGATTTTCTATAGTTGTAAGGAAGGGAAAATGTGTAACAAGGAACAATAATTATAATTTATACATCTAAACATAGTGGAAGTCTTTTGTCCAATGTTCATAAACTCTAAAAAAATTTTTGAAAATTTCAAACCAAGATTACCCATAGTATGCACTGCTGTCTGGAATTGTGAGCCACTATTGTGGCACTTCACTCTGTCCTCATTCTGTGGATTCCCTAGTTTTCTACCCCTGTGTTGGATTCCCCACTGCCTTTATTCCATTTCTCCTGGTTCCTGTTTACTCCCTGAAGTGAATGAACCACATCCTATAGCACATTCTTGAGGGAGGGTGGACAAGAGAAGAGATTTTGAAAACTGCATGTCTGAAAAACATGTCCTTGATTCTCCCTTACACTTCACTGAGCATTTGTTTGAGTAGAGAATCCTAGGTTGAAGATAACTTTCTTGTTTCTCAGAGGATGTCCTGATTTTCTTCCAGTGCACTCTGTTGCTGTTGACTAGGCCAGTGTCATGCTATTAGCTGACCCTTTGCATGTGACCCATTTCACAGTGGCTGCCTTGCCCGCGACCTTCAGTAGGGTCCTATCAGTAGGACGACTCCTGTCCTTCGCTCTGGGGTACTTCCCTATGTTATTTCTTTTGGCTTTTCTAGCTGTTTCCCATTTTCTCTTTCTAGAAATTTCTCTTAGTCAAATGTTTGTGCTTTGGACAGTCTCTCTAATTTTCTTGTCTTTTCTCTCCTATTTTCCATGTCTCTCTTTTAGGTCTACTACATTGGGATGTTTTTTCAATTACTTTTCCAATAATTGTCAAAGGAGCACTCTGATCCAGTTTTGAGACTAGTCTGTAAGGGAAGGAGGGCAGGTAGAAGGTTATTGCTATAATCCAGGTGAGCAACCACAGAGGTTCAGACGAGGGTGTGGAGCTGGTAAGAGTGCCAGCCCCTCAGAATACACATCCATAGAAACTAAACTCGGTGAAGCCAGCGCCACTGTCCTCTTTATCAAATGTGTTATCAGCCAGAAACCCCCCTACATTCTGACCAAATATGTCAGATGTCTTTCCTTTATGCTAAAAAGCTGCCAGGGCTGTGCCCCTCTGTAGAACCCACCCATCACTCATTTTATTGGTTAGTATTTTAAATGTTTTTTTTTTTGCTCCTTTTTAAAAAATGCATTTGTCAGTCATTTACACGTCCACTCATGGTTTATTGGCACCTGGGTAGCACCAACTTTCAAATTCCTGTGATACTTGCACTGAAAATTGATTATATTAACAATTAGTGGTGATACAACTATATCAATAATTATATTAATATATTATATAACTATGTGTATTATAATATCTAATATATAATATATTGTAATTATTATTATTACTACCATAGTTACTTATAATATAATTTGTAGCTTTTTTTACTTCTCAAACAGTGCTTTTTCTCATAAATAAAATTATTCTCTTGCCTCTTTTGATATATTTTAAGAAATATTTTAAACATTTTTTCATTTTTTCATACCTATTTGTCCAGATCTGGTATGTGCCAAATCAAGCTCCCTATTATTTGATTTTTGGTCCTTATTCAATCCATTTTTTTTGTTTGTTTAAGATAATAGGGTGTCAGAGTACTTGTTTTGAGTGTTCCTTTTCCCCCTTAAATACTTTGATTCTGATAACCATGTACAACTCTATCTTTCACTTTAAAAAAGTGTGCTCATATAAGTGATCTAGCATCCGGTGATAAAAAAAAATTCACCTTTATTAATTTCATAAGTGACTTATTCCCTCTCAGCAGCAGTGAGCACCGTGAAAAGAAATCTAGACATACACAAGCCTGAGGCTCCTTGGGAAATAAATTTAAAAGCTCCCATAGGGCCCTAGCAGTCTCTAACAATTCAGGCCAAACAGACTTGGCTGGCATTTCAACCTTACTTAACCATTAACTGTGCACCACATATATGTCTCTTTGTCAGTAAAATGGAGGTAATTTCCCAAGTAGACCAGGAGCTCTGAGTGTGGTGATTGCTTTATTCATTCTGTTTCTCCAGCACTTAATAGAACCTCTAGCACATGGTAGGCACTCCACGATGTTGAATGAAAAAATTGAAAGTTGATCCCATCTCCAGAACAGCAGAGCTTCCATAATGAAAAGCATAGTGCTTGTACTGAAGTGATGGCTGTCAAACTTGCGAAGACATAAGGTCACTTCAGAGATTTGGTAAAAATCAAGATTCAGTGGCTCCCCCCACAGGCCAGTCCAGGTTAGAGTCCAAGAATCTGAATTTTAAGTACTTTTAGGTGATTTGATTCACATGGTCTGAGATACATGGTTTTAAAAGCATACTTATTAATCCACAAATAAAATATCAAATAACAAAAGAACTTTTTTTTTGTAAAGGGAAGAGGATTTGGATGCAACTCCAACATACTAATTTTCATTTAGATAATTTATTCTCCAATTTGTAATTTCCTGCTTTCTTCACACACTTTTTCATCCATAGCCAACAAATGGGAAAAAGGTGACTCCGCTGTTGGAAGGCAGATGGCTTGATACTGTATTGGTGAACTGTGGAGGATGCTATTTATTATTTTTTATTATTTTATTTTATATATTTCTTATATAATTTTTCATTTTTGCACAATATATGCATTTTCAATTCCCAATGCTCTTGTTTTGCTCCTACTCCCTTCTCTCCCCCTGTAGTGTGTCCCTGGTTTATAGTTGCTTGTTGATTTTGATTTTTACTTTATTATAATTAGTCTTTTTCCTCGTCCCTTATTTATGTTTTTTAAATTCCTGCTATGAATGAGACCATCCAGTATTTTTCTTTTTCTTTCTGGCTTCTTTTGCTGAGCATGATCCCTTCCAGCTCCATCCATGTTGCTACAAATTGCATGAGTTTATCTTTTTTTGATTGTTGAGTAATATTCCATTGTGTATATATACCACATCTTCTTGATCCAGTCATCTATTTTTGGGCATTTGGGTTGTTTCCATAGCTTACCTATTGTAAATAGTGCTGCAATAAACATAGGGATGCAGGTGCTGTTTTGAATTAATGTTTCTGTGTCCTTTGGGTAAATACCTAGGAGTGGAATTGCTGGATCATATGAATGCTCCATCTTTAGCAGATTGAGGAACCTCCGCACAGCTCTCCATAATGGTTGGACAAGTTTGCACTCCAACCAGCAGTTCAGGAGAGCTCCTTTTTCTTGTGGAGGATGCTTTTAAAGTCATCATTCCTGGCAGTATTTGGTCAGATCACTCTAATTGAGCACAGATGGGTCAGTTGTCTTGCATTGAGTCATCATTTATCTTTAAACACTAGACTCATATTTATCACAGCAAGAGGCTTGTAGAATCTGAGCCTGCAGACAGAGCTTCAGCACTATTTAAAAGTTCCTGTCTATGTTTTTATGGGTGGGCAGAGCTGAATGTGCACAAGGTAAATAAATGCCTGTATAATGGCATGTCACTGGGCACTTGTAGATATCTTAACAATGTAAATAACATATCCATATTTTTTCAGGTGGAAGAAAACAAAACTTAGACAAAAAATTTCTACTAACCAAAGAGGACTTTCTATCCAATTTTGACTTTAAGAAAGTAAGTTGGCTTTCTTTTTTCCTTAAATTAGTAACATTATGCTTTTATCATCTGGCTAGGATACTAGTTAGTCCTCTCCCTTGAACAGTGAGGGCCAAAGAACGTTGTTCTGTTCCTCAATGACCTATTTCTTTTGTATCTCTCGCCTTCATAGATTAAGGAGCTGGTTTAGAGAAAGAAAAATAGTAGTAACAAGTATTTAGAAATGAATTAATAATTTTTCTAATGACTAGTGATCTAATGAATGTTAACTTTTTTTTTTTTTAGAAGAACCAGGTTTTAAGCTATAAATCTCATCCAGTAGAAGATGGTGGAACTGATAATCCTGCATTCAACCATGTTGAATTGAACCTCACAAATCAAAGTGACAAGGACAATGGGACTCATTTGTGAAGCAGCTCTGACACTAGGTGATCTTAAACAGTGTCTCAGATTTGCATGTTTTCTGAGATAATTGGATCAGGTTTATATTTTTTTTCTTTTTTGTCTATTATGTCTATCAAAACAGGGGCTGTTTTGGGAAATAACATCTTGTTAAAGCAAAGTCATGACTTCCTTCCCTTGTGACACTCACTCACTGAAGATGCTATGGAATTACCAATTTCAGCATCAGCATTTCCCTCCATCTTTGTTTAATGTCAGTAGAACTGTCATTGTGAAAATTAGGGAAGCTATGACTATGTGTATGCCAAAGGCTAACCACACACACAGCACATACTTCATGGTCAATGTCATATTCTTAAATTTGGACATTGTTAAATATTTTCCATGCATTGGTGCTACCATACAAAGTTTGGGGTTTGCCAAAGTCATAACTAATGTTGGAAAGGGCTTTCCTTCCTCCTGCTACAAATTCTATTCCTAGGGAGCAGTGAGGTTCCAGTTCTGTGTTGCTTTGATGTTTGCTTCTCACTGACCCGTATTAGTCAGTACATACTAAATTAGCATCTGTTTCTGGCTCAGGGAGGAGGTAATCTGGAATCATCCTGCCAGGGATGACCATGTGCCCAATGAGCTTGGCTGTCTTGTTGCTGTGCATCTAGTCTCCTGCCTTTTTTGCTTATTATCTAGAGCTCCTGGCCATTAAGCTGTGCTTCTTAACTGCATTTCTAGTTCAGAATCAACTGAGTCGTTGTGCACTTTACCTGTGCTTGCCTTTGCTAGTTTCCTGTTTATTGCTTTGGGTTGCATATGTCTTGAGACACCCAGTGTGAATCCAGCTACCCCAGATCCTAGTTCACTAAGTTCAAGCCTATAAATGAAAATAAGTGCTGTGAGCCTGATGCTTAGAAATACTTTCAACATTGGTCTGTATGGATTTGGTGATCAAAGAGTATTTATGTTATTATTAAAGATGAAAAAGATCTGTGGAGTTGGATGATTACATTGGATGCTTTTGTTTCTGAGTGCCAAATAATATGGAATCCAATTTAAAGGTACATGTGCTTAGAAATTTTGTATATCTAGTATATTCATCCAAAGAGCTAAATTACATAGGAAAACACTGCTATTTTTCATCAGTGTTGTGGAATTACTAAATATATACTTTGTTCCATGGTTTAAAATTTTAGGAAAAAACTTCAAGTAGCATTCTCAAAGTTAATTTTATTTATTTTGCTACATTTCTAGGAATTTGGTTTTATAGGTATTCATCGATAACTTATTTTTTTTCTGCAGGATCCATGTTAGATACTGTTTAAAAGAGTTTTTTTTAAGCTTTAAAATGTTTAAAATAATACCATGAGAAATATTTAGGTACATTGAAATGTTTTATAATTAATTTTTTGCTTATTTTCTAACATTTTTGATAGGCATTCTCTGTAAATTTAAAAATTGACTAACGAAAACATTAAGAAATAAAAAAAGAAATAGCATTTATCTAAGCAAAGATTTATATAATCTTTAAGTTAATGATATATTCATGTTTTTTGTATGTATAGATGTTATTTTTAATCAATATATTTATAAGCATCCATCAAAGTTTGTGAATCTGTAATTTTTTAATGAGTAAGAAGATATAATCTTATTTGTTTCATTTGAGTGTGATTTGAACTATTATTTATTTAGTAATTCTAGATGCACATGTGTGTAGAATGTTTCAATTTTGGAAACTGAAATTGGTTTATTAAAATAATTTTTTCTTTTTTCTGATTGCCAAGGGATTCTGTAATGTAGGGTTTATGTTATGTATTTTAATGTGAGATATAATACTTCCATTCTTGTCCACATTCTTTTTTTTATTAAAGATTTTTATTTATTTATTTATTTATACAAGCACCGGGTACACTCAGAAGCGCGGGAGGGTGAGAGGATTCACCAGAGACAGAGCGGGGAAGAGAACAGGCAGACTGACGAAATACACTGCTGAGGGGAGCAGTGGGCATGGCACGAGAGGTCTGAGTGCCATGTGGGACCCTCGCCGATGGCCGGGGATTGAACCGGTGCTGCAGAGGCTGCGGGCAGCTTCGCCGCCCAGCGCTCAACCACTGCGCCACCAGGGGAGGCCCTTGTCCACGTTCTTTTAACAAACTGTATCTTTGTTATGTTAAAAACAAATTCTGTATGATCCAGCTATCCCACTTCTGGGTATTTACTCAAAAAACATTAATTTGAAAAAAATATGTATATTCCCATGTTTACTACAGAACTATTTGCAATAGCCAAGAATTGGAAACAATCTAAATGCCCACCGAATGGATAAAGAAGATGAGGCAGAGATATCGTGGAGTACTATTCAGCCATTAAAATCGACGAATGATGTGAACATGTTTTTTATTCAAGAAGGTTTAGATGTGGAATGTTGTGTCAGCAACACTGAACTAATAATAGAAACGGGAGTAGTAGAGCAGGTTGTAGATGCAGAATGCAGCTCAAAGAGCAAGATCCTGGCCTTTTTATTGACAGAGAAAGGGGTGGATCAAACTGAAAACTGGATTTAGGGCCCTAGGGAAGGTGAGTCCACTGACATACTCCCGACTCCCACCCATGGCTCCAATAATCTTATTAACAAGATGTTCCACTGATCAGTCCCTGGGATGCAAAGCACTTTAGTCAACAGCCCCCTGGGCTTTCCTGGTCGTTCCTCATGATGTATACCTATTGCAGGATGCTCACATGTCCTGCTCTTGTTTAACTTGAAAGGAGCCTTGTACACCCACAGAGTGTCAAAGAAAATACCTATATATGAATTAACAAAATTAGAAATGAGAAAAAATAAAGCCCCTTGTTCAAACACTTAAGGCAGAGTAGGAAAAATCTGTTTCCAAATATAAGACACATGAGGTGCAGTTCCATTTGTGGGGATGGGGCCAGTTGTGCAGGTGAATGGAGGGGAAAAAGGTGAGGGGTGGTGAGACGAGAGAGGAGAGAGATAAATGCATAGGTTTTACCTTCCTGTTGAGACCTGGTATTATTCCACAGTACTAGCTGGAAGAAAAGGCAAAACTTCAAAAAACAAATGGTAGGTGAGAGTCTCGGGATACCTTGGTTTCCATGCTACTGGAGAGACACGAGGTTGGCTGCAAGAGACCAGCCACAGGAGATGGAGAGCCAAGGGAGGAGGCGCAGAGGATAATATTTTGGTGGGCTAGTCAGAAGATTATTGAACTCCCTGGACCACTGGACCTCCTCAGTGACTTGTCTTCCTATTAAAATGCTCGGGTCTTTGATGTTTATAGCTCAGAAGAGGGACGCTTCAGCAAACCCCGAAGAAAACAATTTCTTCTTGACTTTTGAGTACCAAAAATCAAGCCTCCTAGTTGACAAGGATAAAATATCATGAAAGTTGGGCTTTGTAAGGACTGGCTGCTTGAACTGTTGCATTAGAAATGGATTCCCTCTGCAGGGAAGGCTCCTGGGAAACGTGGAAGCTAACATGTCAGGGAGTCTCTGAGGAGCTTTATGTTCTGCTTTACATGCTGAGCTCTGGAATGGTGGCAGCAAATCACCATAAATGCGAGCTTGAAAATCAACAAAACCTGTGTTTCATCACCTAGTTAGCACTTAAATGCACAGAACCCAGTGAATGCACAGATGAGCAGACATACAGCCGTGGGGGACGTGGAGGGAGCTTTAGGGAGACTTCACCAATGCTGCATGAGCAGAAATTGCTGTGTGAAATGTCCAGGTCAATAACACTCAAAATAGCCTCACAATTTTCTACGACCTAGCCTAGTGCAAGAGCAGCGAAGTGATTTCTAAGCTCCTTAGGGCAGCATGGAGGGAAGAAAGGAAGCCCACATGGGAATTGGGATCAAGCAGGCTGACACATACTTAGACTGACAATCAAGGATTTCCTGGATCCCTGGCAGAACAGAAATATAATAAGTTAAGACAATTAAAAGAAGAACAACTAGGCAGGTGGGGGAGTGGTGTCAGGAAGAAATAATTTTCCTTTTTTTAAGCAAGTAAATCAATAAGGTAGCTGAACATTTATGTCAACTTCTTAATGCTTTTCATATCATTTTTTGTTAAAATTAGACATCTGTGCTCATAGGTGCACACTTAGCATCTAGAACAGAATATAGTCCACTAAAGATTGATACTTGTCAAATGAGTGAATTCCTAAATTCCTACCTCTTAGAGTTTCCATCCATCTTGTTAGTTTTTAAGTGAGTGTCACAGGCTTGATTTCCCTGGGAAGCAGGGAGTTTAATTCCCTGGGAGTTTAATGTGCTTGATTAAAGGAGGGCTTTTCTGATCACTGCCTCGCCTGTGAATGGAAACAGCAGAAGGTTTCACTGGAAATCGAGGTCAAGCTGCAAAGTGCATCTAAGGACAGTTTCCCTACAGACAGTCTGAAGCGAGAGGCAGGCTGTAGAGTTATCCCCTGCTGGGTGAGGTAGCTGGGGTCTCAGACTTGTATCAGGGATCCACTGGAGGGGCCTGTTTTGGGCAGGGGCGTGGTCATGAACCAGGTGTTCCCTGTGTGAGGCAATTGGGGTTGGAGGGAGGGATAAAAGCTGCCTGCCAGGACCCAGTGCCCATGCAGAGACAGGAGGTCGGTCATTGAGGGGGCTTCTCGGCGTGCTCTGCGGCGTCCACTTCACCAGGTAACTGCTTTAAGTCACTTGTCCACGGTCCTACACTGTCAACCTGAACTTAGTTTTATCTGACTCCAGAGCCCATAATTTTCATATTTTTGTTCTATTGTACCTGTTGGAAGCTCACTTCTAAGTTGGTAAGAGTGGGGGTTGGAGTTGGGAGACTTATTCTCAGGCTTCTGAGTGACATAAAGCCCAGGTCAAAAGGCAGGACCTTTGTGTGGCACTGACCCAGCCCTTTAGGGAATGCCAAGTGCTCTGCTAAGCTAAGCACCTGTAGTGGCAGTGCTTTTATTGACTATATAGCCAGCTGATAACGCTACCCACCAACCTTTCCTCTAAAATATTGTAGAGTCAGATAAAATTATGTTCTGTTTGAATGGTAGAGTATATTAAAATAATTCAATTTTTGGTAAAATATTGGCTAGATCAGGGGTTTTTCAGAGTGGTTACCAGTCAACAGTATAATGATCACCTGGGTGTAGGAGGCAATTGAAATTCTTGGGCTCACCTTAGTCCACTGAATCAGTGGAGATGAGGTCCAGGTGATTGTAAGCATGTTTGAATTAGTTGGAGAACAGCTGAATGAGATGGTACTGATTACTAGGAAAAACAAACTGAGCTTATGATTAGCAAACTAGATATAAATGATTTCTTTAAAAATGGCCTGTTTATTTATGTTTTGTTCAGTCTTTTCTTTGCATATTGCTTTTAAGTTGCTTCACAACTTCCTAATTAGTTTGAATTAATGAAAGTTAAAGATTGCCTGCTAGGCAAGGGGAGGGCAGCTGTATGTAGAAACACTTTTAGTATTTTCCCTTCTTTACCAGGAGACTAATGAGATCCAAATCAAATACTTCAAGTGTTAAAAATCACCCCTGTAATGGGAGCCTTGCAAAGCCATCCTTCCTTAATGTTTTTGCTAAAATATTACAAAACTGGTGTCTAAACTTGGAGTTCAATGGGCAATCTAGGGAAGTTACCCAAAATGTCCCTACTGGGAAAACAATAACTGACATTTAGATCTGTGTGGCTTTAACCTCTTCACTGGAGGATTATATGAAGTTGAGGTCTTAACACTTGAAGTGGTCATGGTAATAGTGATTTCCAGGAAAGTGAATTTAAATTGATTGCTATAAGCAACAGTGTGTCTCCCTTTTAGATTCATTTATTTAAAAGGCACTGAATAACACTACAGGCATCACACTCTTAGGCATTGGGGAGGTGAAAATGGGCTTCTTGTCTTCCCTAACTTGCAAGCTTTGCAAGGATATAAGATAGGTAATCCCTGCCCTGGCTGAGGAATAATGCACAGGAAACCAGTGGGGCAGATTAGGCAACAGGAGTCTTCTGGGAAGAGGAGAGTCCAGTGAACAGGACTTTTTGGGAGATATGCTTGCTGACAAGTTGAAATCTGAGCTGGACCTAGAGATGATCTGAATAGGCATAAAAGAAAGGAACTTTGTTTTTCAAGGTATCTGGATGAAAGTAGAAGTTTTGTTTGGGAAGGTGTGAAAGACTCTGCTGTTTGGGGGTTGTGAGGAGGTAGAC